CCCGCGCCGGAGGGCAGGAGGCCCGGTGGAAGAGGTGCCTCCGCAGCGCCTGGCAGCCCCCCCCACCGCCCCCGGCGCAGCAAGCCGGGCAGCTCCACCAGCATTTCCAACCTTCTCTTTTCCCTGCAAAAAGAGGAGTTGCCCGGCAGTCCAGCGTACCGGTATCCTCTGCAGGGGTACGGTGAACCAGGGCCCACGGGCCCCATTGAAGATTTGACCCAACATGACAGTAGGCGGCTTTCTACAAATACCAGAGCTTAGTCAGATATTTTCCCAGTGCCCAGCCTCCCTGCTCAAAATTCCTCCAGTTCCTCCTGGCGTGGCACGCATCTCTGAAAGCACCATTTGACGTCCACTCCCACTTTTAACCCTATTACAATTTGCAAGCCAGAAAATTTCACAGTAAGGATTTTTTCACAAAAAAAAGAGCTCCGCAGTGACAACCAGAAGTTAAGTTAAAACATATTTCCTTGCTGTACTCCAAGCCATGGCTTAGCCAGCACAGGGCTCTCTGCCCAGAGCTCTGGGCTTTGTCCTTCATTCCCAAGGGCAGGGTGGTGGGGCCGGGCTGGCACACAGCGCCGGGAGAGCGCGACACCAGCACACTCTGCGGTGGAGCAAACACCCACAAGCAAACCAGGAATTTTATATCTCCCCTAAACATTTTGTTCTAGTGACCAAAAGCTAGAAGTCCGTCATTAACTGCAGGAGGTCCCTGGAGAACACCTGGACACAAAGAGCATCTCCCTTTAGCTCTGCCATGCAACCCCACTCGCCATCGGGGTGCCTGCTTTCCACCAGCCTCTTTGGTTAACACAGTGCTTTCAGCTGCTAACGCACACTGGGACCAGCCCCATCACCCACTCCCGAGGCAGAAACCAGCTCGTACTTAAAATCCCTTCGGCTGACCTGGCCACCTTGCTGCACACCGGCCTAGGCTCATCTGAAGCTTCCCGATCTCTCCAGGAACTCATTTACCTTAGAGAAAGTCGTGTTAGCCAGTGAGATCGTAATGTCTCGAGACACTCCTGTGGGCATTGGGTCCAAAGAGGCAGGTACGATTCGTGGACAGTCGATTTTCTTCTGTTAGGTACAAAACAAGAAAAAAAAAACAAAAAAGAGAGGTTAGCTGGGTGCATGCTGAGCATCCTCAGTGATGAGGCAAGAAGACACATTGGGCCCTTGATAACATTAATTTCACTACATCATTAAAGTCTGTAACCCAAGAAAGTGAAATATCAAAATGGCACTGTGATGCACTGAGTGGTAACGCCATGTGGAGCCTTCCTCCCCCGAGTCATCAGCTTTAAGTCCAGCCCAGCACAGCACTGCCTTAAGATCCAGCCCTCTGCTAGCGGTCAGATAACCAGGGCAGGGTGGCTGGGCTTCCAGGGGTACTCGTCCACAGCCGTGGGTCAGCAAAGGGAGGAGAAAAAAAATCGCTCCTGCCGGCCTCCTCCGCCAGCTTGGGGACATCGGGGACACCAGCAGCTCCCAGCCCCCAGGTGCTGAGGCTGCCAAGCCTGCACCTTCATCCTTCTGCACTGGAAAAAATGTACTCCCAGGTAAAAAGCAAATGCATATGTACTCCTCAGCTGCCACTCTGGGCAGCTCCCTCATTACATGCACTTAAATGTTAGAAGACGGGGCCAGAGTGTCCGCCAGCTTGGGGACATCGGGGACACCAGCAGCTCCCAGCCCCCAGGTGCTGAGGCTGCCAAGCCTGCACCTTCATCCTTCTGCACTGGAAAAAATGTACTCCCAGGTAAAAAGCAAATGCATATGTACTCCTCAGCTGCCACTCTGGGCAGCTCCCTCATTACATGCACTTAAATGTTAGAAGACGGGGCCAGAGTGACACTAAAAGGAGGCACTGCAGCCTACAATGGTACATCTGCCGGTGTGACCCCCCTCCTGCCAGCGGTAAGCCAATGTCTCACACATCACAACGCGCATTTCTGCAAGCCCCTGCAGAGATTTCGCTTTCCAGCAGTCTCCCTCCTGCACAGTGTCATTTCAGAAGTGTGCGGGGGTTTGTGTGTGCACGCGTGTGTGTGCAGAGGAAAGGGTATAATGAGCTGTAGGGGCTTCAGCAAGGGGACTGCAGCAGTAGGACAGCTGAAATGAAAGGCCTAAATGAAGCTGAAAAATGATTTTAAAAGGTCATCTGTCCCCCTACTTTTGTTCTCACTTTAAATTGATGGCTCAGATACTGGAGCTGACTCAGAATTCAAGTCTGTATGACAAGCCCATCCTGTTCTCCCATGAGATGTAAATCACACTGCAAAACTACAGCAAAAATGAAGCCAGATTCTCCATTGCCCCAGGGTATATCCAGATTAATGCCTTTGACAGTGAAGCCATTGGGGTAAAACACAACAAAATATTTGGTCCATTATGCAGAATAATTTGCAGCAGGCAAGGTTTCCTTCTCACTTGCACTAAGGGTTACCCCACTGTGACTCCACTGATGACAGTGCTGCTGCTGCTCTGACGAGAGGTAGAGCCTGCCCTCCGAGCACCAAGATGCTCAGCAGGGCACATCCCCGGTGCCAGACACGCAGTGGGCTTGGGGTTCCTCTCTTGCCTTCCCCAGACCTAGCTAGGGGTCAGGGAACTATCTAGAAGTGCCTGTTTGACTGTGGAAAACACGCCTCATTTCTATCAGGACATTCATCTTAACCAAGCACAGTTGGTGCCGCCTAAACAAGGAGATTAAATAACAGAGATGCACACGATAAGAAGTAAAACAACAAAGCAAAGCACTGGAGAGAGATTTCAGTCCCAAGCCTCTTCTAGGAGAATCAAAAGAGTTAAAATAAAACCAGCAGGGCTACAACTGAAAATTCATGCAAAAGCTCCTATGGCCTGGTGTGTCCTTGCATGTCACAGCAGCTGGCGTAGCTTGCTAGATAAATACACTTTAGAGGACTGATTAACTTGTCGTCTTGCAGCCCCTTCTCCTGCTGTTCATCAGCAGCTAGAAATAGAGCTTTCCAGCTGATTATATCATTCATGTCTGGATCAGAGCAAAGGGTCTGAATGTTTAAAATGCTGCGGGTGAAGCCAGTATGGTGCTGGCTTCCCGGCGGACCAGTTTTCAGGTGTAGCCACGCCAGCAATGGTTTGTTTACTGAAAGCGCTGACTGTAGGACAAGGCACCATGTTTCCAGGGCTACAGAGCGCCTCGTCCTGCAGGCTGCTCACTGAAATCAGCAGACTAAGAAAGGCACAACGATAAAACAGGAATATGCCCAAACCAGGTGCAGCATCCAACCGAACTGTGCCTCTGGAGAAGGAGATCAGAGGCAAGAAAGCGAGGACAGGCACTGTTATCCTTAAGGAAGGATAGGTGCAGTTATCCCTGCCAGATGGTAACCCTGGCTCTTGTCGTCTGCTCGAGGCGACGGGAGCAGAGTGGGAAGACTGGCTGTAGCTCTCCCTAACCCGTAGGCGAGACTTCTCAAGACCCATGTCCACGACCATAATTTCCTCCCTCCAGGCAGAAGAGCAGCTATTCCCCGTGACGATACGTGAGCACCCCACGCCATGCTGTCCCGCACAGTCCCCACGGCCAGGGAGGCAGATCGGGCCTGCCGAGGCCCGGCCGTCCCAGCACCTGCGTGCCCTCCCTTCGCACCGGCACTGCCGCCCAGGGACAGAACAACGTCTCTCTTGGGTTTGATTTTGGAGTCCCTGGCCAAGCGGCAGCCCCGGCGCCCGGGGGAGGTGCAGCATGAGCATCTGTGGCTCACGGCCCTCTGCGCCGGGAGGTCTTGTGTCCCAGCAGCCCGGCACGCTGCCAGACACCCAGCACAGCTCCCCGTGTCCCGGCACAGGGCAGACACCCCACCGCGCAGCCTCAGCGTGTGGGTCCCACACCAGGAGCAGCCATCAGTGACGGTTTTCTAGTGCCCAACTCCCATGCAGACAGCAAAAGAAAAGGCCAGATACTTTCTGAAACCTGGGAAGTTCACAAAGCGGAGGGTTCTTGCTCAAACTGCCAGACATTCACCAGGGAGCACAGCCCATCCAGAAAGATTTCACAAGCCAGAGGACAGACCAGCGCTGCCCTGCGCTGCCCGGAGCCGTCACCCCGCTGCCACCCACTTTCCCAGGGTTTTACACTAGACATGACCGTGCAGAGCTGAGACATGGTGGCCCCATCTCCTTCCCCGTCCCCTGCACTTGCAGCCGCCCACCTCCTCCGCACTGGAGGAGAGCGGACACCACAGCCAGCCCGGGGTTGAGCCCGGGGGGTGAGGGTGGGACGTCTGACATGGGGCCAAACTCCTGCCGGCGACAAGGCAACAAACACAGGGAATCGCTGGAAGAGCTGAGATGAGAGCAGAGCACCGGTGCCAAAGGGATATTCAATTTACAGTGTAAAAGCTTGGCTTGGATCTATGGCAGACTGATTACTAAAAAGCCAATTTTATTTAAATTAACTTCAATTTAAATTTCAGAAGCAGGAACACACTGAGCCTCTGGGTTATTAGAAGCTATAATTTGGAAAGGGTGATTTTCTTCTGTAGACAAGCACCACCAGTGGTGCTCCAGCAAATTATTAGCATACCGCAATCTAGTCAAAGCTAAACGAATTGTAAAGTATTGCTATGTTTATTGTATTACTCAAACCCAGGCATCCCAGGATGCAGAGAAGTAGCAGCATTGCTCCAGATGTGAGAGGTGATGAAGAGCCAAGGGACGGAGCCTGCTGAGGCCGCTGAGAGAGACAAATGCTTTCGCTGGGCTGCCGGTCCCCTCGCACACACACGTCTGGGCACGACATTGCACAGCACGGCTGCAGCTTACTTGCCCCATGCACATCCCCCATTGCAGACGCCAGCAGAGGAGGGTGCCCCAACTCCAGCCCAGGACAAGCCATGGCCACGCTGCCGTGGCCAGCAAGTGCCACCCGCTGATGGAGGCGACTCAGAACCTGCTGGGAGGAGTGGCTGAGCACCGGCGCCTGAAGACCCCCAGGGTCACTAAATAAAATGAGGCTCAGCCTGGGGACCTGAAGTGAGGTGGTCCGAGCCCGGTCTCAGCCCCGCACTCACACGATGCATGCAGAGCGGCACTCCAGAGCAGCCCTCCAGCTCTCCATCTGCTGAGCCTTTGAAGTGAGATGCATATCGCTGCATTTCCGACTGCGGAGGCTTCCCGAGGCCAGGCAGCACGTCAGCAACGCCGAGCGGTGCCGTCCTCGGAGCTGCCCCCGCCTGCCGGGGCAGCGCTGCCAAACCCAGGCCATCTGCCTCCATCCCCGGGAGAAGGAAAACAGCAACAGCACAGGACGTGGGAAGGTCTCCCGAAGCAGCAAAGTTTGATGGGCCTTACCTTCATCTGCAGCGCGTCGGCACACTGCGAGTGGTTGGAGACACAGGCGTAGGTGGAGGGGCACCAGTAACACTTCCACCTGGTCGAGAGGCAGCTGGTGCATCTGCAGTGGCAAAGGTGCGGTGAGAAAAGCAGACCTCAGGCTGCTCAAGGCAGCCACACCTCAGCCATGCAATCCATCTTCACACATTGTGTTCAGTATTTAATGGCACCCAGAAAAACCCATGGCAGATGCTGGGTTTTCCTCTCCTCCTCGCCTTGGGAGCTGGAGGGGGACATGGGCAGAGCCCACCATCCCCAATGCCGCTCCGAGGGCAGCTCCAGAGGGTTATGCTCCGGAAATGTGGACAACCTTCTGTGGGTGGCACCAGACCCCTCCTCTCCAGCCCACCCTGCTGATGAGGGGTACCCGGCTCCTCCCTCACCGCCCCACAGGGATTGCTGGGGAGGCCGGCTCTGCTGCCTAAGGGTTAACAGAACAAGCTCCATGTAAAAAAATTATTCACATTTAAAAAAACCTCAACATGTCCAGATGGCTCGAGATGCCGCGAGGACCCTCCTTTGTAAATCCCTGGCAGCGCAGCGACTACGCCCCTGC